AGAGAGAGAAAATTTTTAGAGAGAGAAAATTTCCGTGAAATGAGAAAGCGATAGGGTTTAGGGTTTAGGGTTTAGGGTTTAGGGTTTAGGGTTTAGGGTTTAGGGTTTAGGGTTTAGGGTTTTTTTTTTTAGTTGAATAACCCTTGGAGGGGTAGGGGCTGAGCGACACCCCCAGGCCTTATCATTAATAACAAAAAGCAAAATACAAGGAGGGGGGCATAAACCTTACCTCCAAACCTAAGGTGGTTTAGAGTTGACTTTCCAAAAGGAATGTCAACTCCGCCCCGTACAAGGAAAGATGAAACCAAAATACTAAGAACCTAAGGAGAGGACTCCTCTCATTACAAAGTATCTAGGAAGCATAAATTAGGGAGACTCTCCCTTTACAAGAAAGTCTATGTAAAACTAAACTATATCCCTATTCAAAGTAGCTATATTATTTGAATATAGCTAAGTTGAAAAGGTAAAAATATCAAGGGGGATCAAAGATCTTCTTAGTCTTCTTTCTTCTGAAGCTTGGCATGTTCATAAGGTCCATTTGATAGTAGGCTTTAGCTTCTTTAGGAAGTTGATTGCTGTTGAAGTAGACTTGAGGGGCTGTTGTGTTGTGGCTGTGCTTTGAAAGCGCATCTGCTACCCAGTTTACTTCTCTGAAAATGTGTGAACATTTAAAGTTATGAGTTTGCATGATGATGTGCTGGATTTTTTCAAGTTGACTGGTAGTACTCCAATGTGGGGCTGCTTTATTTGAAATCCAGTCCACGACCAATTGAGAGTCTATCTCGAGCATAATGTTCCTGAATCCTAGTTCAAGTGCCCAGGTCAGTCCAATAAAGACCGCCTTAATTTCAGCTATGTTGTTCGAGCCTTCTCCAAGAGGTGTTGAAAATGCCATCACCAGTTTGCCTTCTTTGTCTCTGAGGATACCTCCAGCCCCAATCTTTCCCGGATTAGTGAGAGCGCTTCCATCCGTATTTATCTTGATCCATTGATCCGGAGGTTTAATCCATTTTACCATGCTGACTTTAATGTCATGGATACACTTCTCACTTTTTTGTATTAGAGCTGTCCAGCTAGGTGGCCAATTGATGTGTGGGAAGGTGTTTTTCAGCATCTTGAAAGTGTCCTTGTAGACTGCATACTTGACTCGACTGATATTAGTTGCTTTGCCTCCATATTTGCATGCGCACCTGTTCTTCCATAGGTTCCAACAGATGAAGATTGGTGTGGCTTGCATCAACAGCTGGTGGCCTGCATTCTTTGGCTTGGCTGTCCACCACTGTTTGATCAATGACAGCAGCGTGGAGTGATCAGCTTGCAGCCCTGCAGTTGCTGCAAAATAATCCCATACTCTAGCTGCAAATTGTCCTGTATTGAAGGTATGTTCAATGGTGTCCATGCCTGTTCTATCAAAACAACAAAAACAAGAAGATGGCTCAATGCCAAAGTTAGCCAGCCTTTCATTTGTTGGGATTTTACCTCTTAAAGTTCTCCATAAAAGAAAGGAAGATTTAAAAGGAATACATTTATGCCATAAAAAAGAATTGAAGATGTTCTTAGCCTTTTTGTCCCTGATTTCCTCCCAGGCAGAAGAGCATGTGAATCTGCCATGGCTGGTGAGTTTCCAAACAGCCTGGTCAGGCTTGTGTTGTTGCTGCTGTATTTCTGTCTCCAGGATGCTGCAAATCTGGCTGGCTGGTGCATGTTGCAGCAATTTGCTCCCATTCCATTCTCCATTTTCCCAAAATTCAGCAACTGTACAGTTGTTAAGTCTGTTACTGTTGCTGGTATGTTAAGCTAGAGGCCCTGTACCAAGCCAATTGTCCCACCAAAAGGAACAATTCCCAGCCTGAAGTCTCCAATGAATGTGTTGCTCCATCTGCTGTCTATTAACTAGCATATTTTTCCAGGTTAATGACTCTCCCGTGTCCCATTTCTTGCTCACCGGATTGGATCTTTGGCAATATTTCGCTTTTAAGAAATCTCCCCACAAGGTTTGTTTTGTTCTGAAGATCCACCATTGCTTGAAGTGGAAAGATTTGCAAACATCATTCAGGTTTCTCATCCCAACCCCCCCCCCTCCTCATAAGGGTAGCTCAGATTTTTCCAAGAAGACCAATGATATTTTTTCTTATTGTTTTTCCATCCCCAGAAAAAATCTGCGATTAGCATTTGGATCTGTTTGAGGATTGTAGTAGGAGGGGTTACAACAGATAACAAGTGTATAGGTAGTGCCTGCAAAACATGTTTGGAGAGTACAGCCTTGCCTCCATAACTAAGTTGCTTTGTTTGCCAACCTGTAATTCTAGAAACAACTTTGTTAATAAGATCAGAGAAGTAAACATTCCTAGGTCTGCCAACAAATAAAGGGCATCCTAGGTAATTGATAAGGCCCTGTTTCTGCTTGAAGCTGGTCAGCCTTTTAATTCTATCCCTAGTGCTATTGAACGCATTAGAATGAAGCATAAAATGGCTTTTATCTCCATTGATGAGTTGCCCTGAGATCATTTCATACTCCTTAAGAGTATTCATGAGGAGTCTCAAGGTTTTACATCTTCCGGAAGTGAAAAGTATAATGTCATCCACAAAACTTAGATGATTCACTTGTGGCCCCCTTTTTTCCATGATGAAACCATGGTAGTCAGGGTGATTATGAAGCCTGTTGAGTGATCTTGAAAGTACCTCCGCACTTAAAATAAATAGGGTCGGGGAAAGAGGATCACCTTGTTTGAGTCCTCTAGTAGAGTGGAAGAAACCATACCTTTTGCCATTGACAATAATAGAGTACCAATTGTTGGCCATAATTCTCCAAATCATATCAATAAACACCTCATTGAACCCCATTTTCCTTAGAACTAGGCAAATATATGACCAAGAAACTCTGTCATACGCTTTTGCCATGTCTAATTTAATAATGACATTACTTCCAATGTTGGGTTTCTTGATTTGGTGAATAATTTCCTGGGCAAGCATAATGTTCTCCGAAATACTTCTCCCCTTCACGAAGCCAGACTGATTAGCAGAAATTAAAGACGGAAGGATAGGACTAAGTCTGTTACTTACTAGTTTAGATATGATCTTACTAGTGAAGTTACTTAGACTTATAGGCCTAAATTCTGTGAGTTTGTTTGGATTATTCACTTTAGGGAGCAGCACAACGGAAGAGTGCGAGAAGTACTTAGGAATCATTTGACCACTGAAAAAAGCATGAAGCACTTCTATCAAATCATTCTTGATAATGTTCTAGCACTTTTGAAAAAAATACCCGTTCATACCATCAGGCCCAGCTGCCGAGTTGGGGTTCATGGAAAAAACTACCTCTTTAAGCTCATCCATACTAGGCAACTTGGTAAGACTAGTATTATGGTCCTGATTAACCAGTCTTGGTAAGCATTCCAGAGTATGTTCATTGATGTACTTATCTTCACCTTTGAAGATGCTATTGAAGTGCTCACAAGCCGCCTGGGCAATATTGTTCTCTCCTTGTATCAAATCTCCATTTTTATTGACAATCTTGTGAATAAATAATTTTCTCCTTCGTCCCCTTATAATGGAGTGAAAATATTTGGAGTTGGTGTCACCATCCTTAAACCAATGGAGTTGAGTTTTCTGTTTCAAGATATTATCCTCAAGCTTGAGGAATCTGATATATTGAGCATTGAGTTCATGGAGGGCACTCCTATTTGAATCCGTTTGGTCCAAGGTGTATTTTTCTTCTGCTTCATGCACTTGTTCCTCATACATCCGAACTTGTTGAAAAATATCTCCATATTCATTTCTAGACCAAACACTAAGAGTTTTTGATAATCTTTTCATCTTCTGATGAAACTTCCACATAGCATTGCCCTCCACAGGTCTATCCCAGCAATTTTTAACCGTAACCATGAAGTTCGGATTATCAACCCAACAGTTAAGGAATTTGAAGTAGTTAATGTGGTTGGCTTCAGCGGAAACCATTTCCAAGAGTAAAGGACAATGATCTGACCCCGTAGTAGATAAATGAGTTATGGTAGTTTGTGGCATCTTTTCTAGCCATAAGTCATTAACTAAGGCCCTGTCAAGTCTCTTCCTGATTCTGTGGTTAATGCCCCTCTTGTTAGACCATGTGAATTTGTGACCACTGAAACCAATGTCTACAAGACCACAAGCTTCAATGACCGCAATGAAGTCCATACTTTTCCTCATATTGTAAGGTAGACCCCCCAGTTTTTCATCAACATCAGATATAACATTGTAGTCCCCCACAGCACACCAGGGATTGGTAATTATTGAGGCATGATGACGCATTTTATCCCATAGAGGTCTCCTCAGATAATCTTTGCACTTTGCATAGATAAAGGTACTAGTAAATTGGTATTGTAATTCATTGTGTTTCATGTCACAAGTGATTTGCTGTTCATCTTCATCAAGAATATTACAGTCAATATCACTGTTCCAAAAAACCCAAATCTTATCATTACAATTACTAGTAGCATTATCCATGCTCAATTGCATCTTGAAGTTATGAATATTAACACTATCTGAGAAAGGTTCCAAAATAGCAATAACTGATAACTGGTACATTTTCCTGAGCATTTTGAGTCTTTCCAACACTCCTTGAGTGTTGATCCCTCTCACATTCCATATAATCGTACTAATCATTGGGATGATCTGGAGGAGAAGAGTCTGGTGTTCGGTCTGCCTGCAGTGACAGTATTGGCATCTTGTTTCCTTAATTGGAACCTGTCATAATGAAGGCCCCTTGGAGACAAACATTGGCTGTTGGTTACTTGTTGAATTTCATTTTCTAGAGTTTGATCATTATGTGGACTAAAGGCCCTAATAGGGGCCTCACTAGTCTCATCATTATCATCAGAGTCTTCTAGAGATTGGTTATCCCCAACAATTTCATCTTCAGAGTTAATCACAGCATATTCATCCATGATAGGTTCAGTATTAACCCTACACTTCTGTTGCATCTTATCTGGAGGTTCTGAACTGGGGGGGGTCATGTACTGAACCTGTAAGGGAAGAATATTCAAACCTTGGTTATCATCAACCATTACAAATTTGTTACATAGTTCCTCCCTTACTTCCTGCACTTGTTCAAAATCCTTGTCTTGCTGTTTGTTTTGCCTTCTTTTTGCAGCGTCTCTTTTTTGTTTACTGGGCTTATTCTTACTCTTGGGGGTGCTTTCAGTACCCATAGAAACACTTTTCTTTCTTTGATCCTTGTCCTTCATTTTTTCAACTTGTTCTTCAATTTTTTCTTTGGCAGTCTGTTTTCTGTTGCCACTGTTCTGCACATGCTGCTGAGTTTGTTCTCTTTGTTGCTGACTGTTCATAGCAGAGGCTCTAAGGTCTGTCCTAGGGTCAGTAACCAACCCCTCATGCATAGCATGAGGCAAATTCCCCCCTTTGGTATCCCCTTCCTGCATGTTAGTGGCTATCTCCTGACACTCTCCATCCGTACCTCCAACAACTTCATCAGTAAGACCAGCATCAACATTAAGAAAATTGGGGGCTTTGGGGATTGGGAGAGATAAGTCAATACCTGTTCTCTTGCTTTTGTTGCTACCAGCAGCCTGTTGATGAGGAGGCTTGTGGTTATTTGGATTATTCTTGACAGGTTGATCATTTAAGTTTTTATTGTTGGGTTGGTTTATTTGACTTGCTGCTTCCTTGATTCCATCCTGTCCAGCTTGCTGCCTTTCTTGCTTTTCCTGCACTTCAAGGTTTGTAAAAATATTTTGAGTTGGAAGGATAGATATACCTGTATTTCCTTGCTCATGTTGATGGCTGCTATTGTTTCCTTGCATTGGAGGAGTGACAGGTCTCCACACAGCTTTGGAGATGACTTGTTCCTGAATTTTTGGTTGTTTCCTTCTTTGTATTTGCCATTGTTCTTCTTGTCTGTCCTCTTGCTGCCCCTGTTCCTCTTGATTCTGTATAATTTTCTTTTGCTGTTGACTTGTCATGTGTGTTCTTGGTTGAGTCTGATCCTCATTTTTTTCATTGCTTCCCTTTTGTTTTTTGTTTGGTTGGTTTGGAGTCTTTGTTGTATCCTCCTTTTGATCTTTCCTTTGTTCATTCAATTTTCCAGAACTCCTTTCCATACTGTTTTTTTCCACCTCCAGCTCCTTTTTTTTTAATCTCCTCATCTCTTCTTTTGATTGTACACTCCTCATCCCTGTGGCCTTGGTGTTTACAATAAAAACAATAGCTAGGAATTCCTTCGTATTCAACTTTTAACCATCTTCCTTTGTTGGGGTTGGAGTGTTTAAAACCTAGCCAAACATGGGAAGGCCTTTCTTTAGTTAGGTCGACCTGAACCTTTACTCTAGTGGTGCTGCCTCTAGTTCTCTGTGAGGTAGGTGAGTCCAAAAACAAAACTTTCCCAATGCTTTCCAAAATAGTTGTTAAGAAGACTTTGTTGTAATAGTGCCAGGGGAGTCCAGGAATTGATATCCAAATAGGAACCACAGGTGTTTCTTCTTCCGGAGTGAAATCTGGGGTCCAAGCTTGTATTCTCATAGCTTGACCCTCGATGTTCATTTTCAGTTTCGTCCAAACCGTTTGATAGTCCAATTCATTGTCAAGATCAATATAGACGTGTCTAGAATTGAAGTGTGTGATCTTAACTCCCCCCATCAATTGAGTTTGCAAAATGAAACTTTTCCTAACAAGCTCCATTCTAGGCATAGTGTTAGTAAATTTGCCCACAAGCGTATATTTACAAATCTCCGCTAATTTAACATAGTAATCATTTTCATCAATAAGAACAGCGGGGAAACCTTGTCTAGTGGTATGAACAGGTTCATTCAAAGTAATGGGAGTTTCTTTTTGAGCCTGATTATATCTCAACCTAGCTGCAAACGATTGTATCACAGTGTATGGGGCAGGTTCAGAATTTTGCTCATTTTTGTTGTTGTTATTGAGTTGCTGGCCCTGTAGGTGGTTGTTTGGATTCCTAGTATTGGCCTGATCAGCCTGGCCAGCCTGTTTGCGAGTGTTATCATTGTGAAGTTTAGGATCATACCTTGAATAGTTGTTGGAAATTTTGGGGAAGTTGTTGTGATACTCCTCCCTTGCCTTGTTGGATTGATCATCAGATTTCCTTCCTCCTTGTGTATAGCTTTGCTTGGTTTGATCAGTTTGCTTTTCAGCATTCACCTGACTTTGATCTAAATTGATTCCTTCCAATCTCCTCTTTTCTTCCTCAGGTTGGTGCTGCTGCTTATGATCTTGAACCTGTTTTTCCTTAGCTTGTTCATGACTGTGCTCATTTGCTTTCTCCTCTCTTCCACCTTTGTCTTGATTGTTATATTTTCCTGGAGAGTTACCTGCATTGAGTTGAGGGGTTAAGTGTGATGAAGTACTTGTCATTGCAAAGGAAAAATTAGAAGTTCCTGCTGCTGATGCTGCAGGTTGTATGTCCATGTTCATCTTGTTCTTGTCCTGTTGTTCATTGAAATTTTCCTTCTGATGATTGTTGTTGTCTTTAGCCATTGTTTTTGCTTCCAAATCGTGAGGATCAGTTGCAGAGCTATGACGTTCCTCTCCTCGACCACAACTTGACGTTTCCCCTGTTCTCTCATGTCGTCCAAGATGCTCATGTGGGTTGCGATTTGTGGAAGATGCTGGATCATTGGTGTTGAGGTTCCCTCTGTTAGGGCGATTAATTAAGGTTGTTACTTGAGTATTTTGAGCTTGGGAGAATGCCTCTTTTGTTGAAGTTCCATTAATTCCGGCGTATGGCACAGTAAGGTCGCCGGAATTTTCACTACCGGCGATTCGACCGTCCATTTGCTTCCATTTTTGGCTGATAGGGTCCTCATCCTTAGGGGAACAAACCCCAGTGGTCGAATCCCTTCGAATTGAACTGGAAGTAGGTCGAATATCGATGCGCGACTCAGGCGACTTCGTCGCGATTTCCTCCAAATTCGCCTCTCTCGTCTGAGCGATTGGGACGATAGGATTGGCTAATTGTTTGACCTGTGGTAGATCAAGGTGAGGGGAGTTCATTTCCCTACTCGATTCCTCTCGATTCCATCCAGAAATTCGTGGGGAAATTTTTTCGCGATCTTCACAGACGACCCCTTCAAAAAACGCAGAATTCATCGCATCTTTGTCCTGCATATTGGAGGCATGCTGAGGTTGATTTTGGGGCGTGCTATGTATGGTTAAGGAGCTCTCATCGAAGCGCCCCTTTTGGCTTTGGTTCGGTGGCCGTCTGACGGCTGCCGGCGTCCCACGCGCTGTTGCGGCGCTGGGCGATTGAGACTTATCAGCCGTTGTAAGTGAGAGAGAGAGCGTTTTGCTAAGAGAGAGAAAATGTAGAGAGAGAAAAAATCTGGAAAAATGGGGTGCGATGGGGTTTAGGGTTTAGGGTTTTTTTTGGGGGGTTTAGGGTTTTTTTTTATTAATCGACCCTAAGGGTGGGTCAGGGGCTTAGCAACACCCCCAGGCCTTAACATATATCAAAACAAAGTATTACAAGAAGGGGGGCATTCACCTTACCTTCTAATATTTGGTAGGTATGTAATTGACTCATCTACTAAGATAGTCAATACACCCTTACACAATAAGATGGACAATTAGAAAATAATGCTACCCTTTCTAAAAGCATAAATTAGGGTTTAGGGTTTAGGGTTTTTTTTTCATGAAAGAATATCTCCATTATGCTTGTTGGAAAGAAACAACAATAAAGAAATCACCTCTAATAGAGAAATAGAACAAATAGATCTTTGGAGCTTTTTGGCTTGTCGTTCCATGGCTTCCTTAGCTCCATTTTGATAGAGGGTTTTGATTTGTTTGCCACAGCTTCGAAGCTCACCGAGGTTGCTCGAGCTGGCCGGAATACCTACAAAATAAATCAAAATCGTGAAGGGGAGAGAGGGAAAGGGACTGTTTCATTTTTATATTTATATTTTTTTCTTATTTGGCTCCGGTTCATCGGAGCTTAAAGCTCCCCGCCGGGGTCGCTGCTAGCTGCAAAAACGAGAAAGAAACAAAAGAGTTTTGGGGGTGGTGTGGTCGGAGAAGAAAGAAATGGGGTTTGGGGTTTTGTTGGAGTCGTTTGGTTGCTGGCTTCGCTGCAGTACGCAGGCCGGGGGTTGCCTTGTCGCTGCTGGTTTCTTCTCTGCAGCTGGCTTCGTCCTCCTCATGCTGGCTGGAGAGGAAGAGAGATTGAAGAATGATGGATAGGTTTTAGGGTTCTCCGGCGGCGTCTTGCGTGAGACGGCAACAGTGAAGGAGAGAAAGAGGGGCGACTGGGAAGAGAGGGAGGGGAAAGGTTGTGGAGAGAGGGAGGGAAGGCGAATGGGAGGAAAATGAGAGGGAGTGCTGGAAGGAGAAGGGGCCGCGGCTAGGAGGAGAAAAAGAGGAGAGGGGGCTGCGGCTCCCTTTTTTTATTGAAAATTTTTCCCCTAGGGTTTA